AGATCAGCTTGAGATAGCCCAGTGACGAACTTCTTAGCTATAATTTCACATTGGTTTCTATGGTTTCCAGATAGGGGAAGAAAATGAAGTTGCAGATTTTTTTTTTGTAATGTAAAAGGTTATTGGAAAATAAGAGATACTGCTCAAATTAATGTCGTTCCCCCTCCAGGAAAGCAACTGCTGTTACTGCAAAATGAAGATGTATGTTGTACATCTCTGCACTTTTCTATATTGGTAACAAATGAGGAACTATTATGATATTTAAACAATTTCCAAAATTAGCAGAAACTTCTCTTAAAAGGGGTGAATTCATTGTTGCAATGTTTTAACAATGGGTACTAATAACTGGCTTGCAATCTCCACTTTTCTTGGATCACACATTTAAAGATGGCACACAGTGCCTCTGCTAAATCAGTTAAGGAATTGGTGAAAACTGACAGAGGTATCTCTTTATTCATTGTTTATAACAGAAACCAGAATTTAGCAGTTCATTAATATACTTGTCACTGTTACTAACTTATCTATAAGGCTGGGCTATGAAACAAGGACTAGTAAATACTGGATTTCATATTCAAATCTTATTTAAAATAGATGGACATAAGTTAAGACTGATCAAACACCTATCACCCCCTTGGACCTATCCTCCAGCCTGACTCTTACTTACCAATCTTCTCAATAGCTGGCATGCAGCCACAGCATTTAGTTTTCAAATATCCCATCACCACCTGGGATAGGATCAGGGTTGTCTATTCATAGAGAGTCTGTGAATTCCTCATGGAGCAGTGGACCAGAAGCCAAGAGATCCGAACTCTGTTTCTATCTTCATTTTATTTTTTTTTATTTTTTAAATTTTTTTTTTAATTTTTATTTATTTATGATAGTCACAGAGAGAGAAAGAGAGAGAGGCAGAGACATAGGCAGAGGGAGAAGCAGGCTCCATGCACCGGGAGCCCGATGTGGGATTCGATCCCGGGTCTCCAGGATCGCGCCCTGGGCCAAAGGCAGGCGCCAAACCGCTGCGCCACCCAGGGATCCCTCTATCTTCATTTTAAACTGATTTCCATGTCACTTAGCTAATCCATGGCTAATCACGGGCATACATCTATTCAACAAGATACATGACCAGCTCACAGACTTTAGAGCATTACTGTAATTTCAAATGAGGAAAACATCCAATCCTTTAACAGCTGTAACAGCACACAGATATGGAAAACTTTAATTATTCATTCTTCACTTATTATTCATGCTTCTTTAGAGCCCAGTACCAAAATATAGCCCTGGCAACTCAGTTTTTTCAAATAAAGGGAGAATATGTATCAAAATGAAGTTATCCAACTCTGCTGACAGCAAGCAAATGTAATCAATAACTGCCAAGTAATATTTTCCTCATAGTGATAAATATATAATAATATAATTTTCCAAGAAGTGTGTGAGACAATGTAACTAACAATTATGTCGTGGCTAGTAATTTAATAAATGTACCCAAAAGTTGGTTTTAAGACACACAGAGAACAAAATGGCTTGGCTCCAATGTTTTACATATGACCAAAATATAATATCCAGTGAGAAGGGTTAGAAACAGTAAAAGATTCACTATCTAAATTTTATTATAAGGAACAAGTGGCCACAAATTTTAATACCACAATAATTTTAAGTATATATTTGCATATATACGTTCCTTAAAATAACTGTATTCTTAAAAATATACATGTATATGTATGTGTATATATTCTCTATACTTATATAGATATATGTACATGCCTAGGTCTATACCTATAGATATCACACCTACACGTTCTTTCTACACACACGCGCGCGCGCACACACACACAGACACACACACACACACAGAAGCTTACATATACACATGTATATACACTTTAGACCCTGTATCAAATCAGAAAATATTCAGGGCAAAGATAAAGAAGAAAGTAACTGCCATTTTAAAATACTTATTACATGCCACATGCATTCCCTATCTCTACTTCCTTGCTTATCTACTCTCTTGATAACGTTTTTTCACTCCCAGGGTTTCACAACAATCTGTGATTTGCTCCCTGTCTTCTCTGGTTCCAGCTTGAATCTTTCCAGAACTTCCAACCTGTAAACCTGAAAAAAGACTAATAGTGTAACTTGGAAGTAAAATAACAGGTTCTAAAGCTGGACTCTTAGTTCCACTGTTTACAAGTTGTATGTTTATGAAAGTTTCATTCACTTTGAACTTACTAACTTATAAAGGTATGTATGGCCCTATGGTGAGTTTCCTATTACCAGTGGACCAAGGAAGAAAATTCAAATCTGGTTCTGCAAAATACGTTGGCCATATTGAAAATGGAGGGCTTCAGCACAATTCCAAGTTAGTAATGAAGAAGATGGGGAATCTTCCTGGTGGGCAGTACTTCAGCACACATAGTTGCTCATTTTACTTAGAAAGGAAAATTACCAGAAGTACAATTCTATACCAAGTCATGGGGAGCAGCTAGTGGTTTGACAAGCTGATCAGGGAACTAAAAGGAACACTACTGGAAAATTGGTGACACTGAGTTTGAGAATGGATTACGTGAACATACTTCTTTAAATAGGCATGGAGGGGGAAGATATTCATAAAAGGATAGTAGCAGAGTATCATCTTAACAATTGGGTGAACAAGATGACCCATTCATATGGTTATTACTCTTCTTCAGCAATCCTTCTCAATGGCTAAGACACAAAGTGATCATGACAGCAGGGATGATTATGTATGGACTCAAAATGAGGACCTGCACTCATCAAGACTAGTCTGGCTATGCACTGTTGAGTGCACCCAGTCTACCAATGGACAGGCCACCACTGCACCTATATTGAGTACCAATCCTTGGACCACTTCAATCATGGAAAGGGCAGTGGTTTGCTAACACTTGAACACTTAACTAACAATGTAGATTTACTTTCTGTCCTTGCAACTTTTCTACGTATACCATCATCCATGAACTTGCTAAATGCTTTATCTGTTAGTACCTTGGTACACAATAAAGCAATAACCTTTTAGAGGTGTTAGTTATGGCAACAGCTGGATAACACTACCTTGCCAGGCTGAGGTAATGTCTTCCATGCTCTAAACATGACCAACAAATACATAGTTCTATTTTCCCAGAGCTGGGCATTTCAGGCCTGGGAATCAATAGGTAGAGACGAGAGTGGGTCCTATCACAATTACCTCTAGTCTTCCACTAGAGAAATATCCATTTCTATAAATTTGGGGTTTGCTGGTCTAGAAGTCTTTTCTACTAGGGATCACAGCAATGGCTCCATTAAACTGGAAGTTGACAGTGTCACCCTGCCACGGTTTGGAAAGGGATGTTGTATCCTCTTTTAGGAATAGAACTAGCATACTAGTTTTGTGAGGGAAAGTTGCATTACGTTAGGTAAAAGCATATTTTTGTTATTGTCTTTATTTCAAATACAGGTATGATTAGGAAAGATGCTCTCTTATGTCAAATTGACAAGTGGTGGATTACTTTGGCTTTCTAAGTGTCAGCTTAGCTAGGCTTCAGCATTTTTTCCAGAATTCAGAAGTCAGAGATCCTGAGCCAGAGATATCCAGCTAAGTCACATTAAGATTTCTGGCCTACTGTGAGATAATAAATGTTTAATGTTTTAAGCCACTGAACTTTAGGGCAATTTATAAAATAGCAATAGATAACCAATACACTAATAACCATTGCAAACCCACACTGGTAAACAAATTCATTATTTGCAGACTCATATTCATAATTCAACCAATAATTATTGAAGGTCTAATCTATTAGGCCCTGCTATAGGGACAAAGTCATGAAAAATACAGTTTCCAAACTATGGTTTTATGGAGCTTTGCACACAGACAATAAACAAAATATATCTTATTTCAGATGATGATAATTGCTATGGAGAAAAATAAAGCAAGGAAGCAGGGCAAAGCTTGAACTAAGTAGGGGCTGCAATTTTAAAAAGAGTAGTCAGAGGCCTCCTCTGAAAATATGACATATGAACAAAACCCTGAAAAGTGTGATAAAATTAGTCATACAGGATTTGGAGGAAATACATTCCAAGCAGAGAAAATAGCAAATGGAAAAGTCCTGATGCAGGAGTAAAACTGACCAATGCAGCATATGGGGCCTATGTACCTTTTTAACGACTTTGGCTTTAACTTTGGCTTTAATCTGAGAGTTAGGAGTCTTTCATGTTCTGTCTCCCTTTCTGATACTCCTAACTCTGGGAAATGAACAAGGGGTAGTAGAAAGGGAGGTGGGCGGGTGGTGGGGGTGACTGGGTGACGGGCACTGAGGGGGGCACTTGATGGAATGAGCACTGGGTGTTATTCCATATGTCGGCAAATTGAACACCAATAAAAAAATAAATTTAAAAAAAACTTTGGCTTTAATGGAGTGAAATGTGGAGTCGTTGGATTTTGAAAAGGGGAATGGTATCACTAATGTTTCAGAATGATTATTCTGGTTGCTGTGTTTGAAAAAAAACATGTGTGGTGGCACAGAGGGTGCAAGTTTGGGGGGAAGCAGGGATACTGGTTAGAAAGTTTTTATAATAACCCGAGCTAGAGTATGGTTGATTCAATCATGGTGGGAAAGATTAAGGATGTGAAAAATAGTCAGATTATGAATACGTTTTTTTTATTACAAGTATGTTTTAATGAAAGATTTAATAGAACTTGCCAAAACAATTAAACTAATTTTAAGGTGTGTATGCCCACAGAGGGATACCTAGTAATAAATCATTAAAGCCAGAAACTACATGGTTTATTAATTCTACTTTGAAATATTTATTATTCTTAATCTCCTATAATCCTATAATCCATACCCACTGCTAGTGTCTTGCTTCTAGGCACTATAATGACTATTTTCAATGACTTTTTAAAGGTTTCAAATATATTTTATTTCTTCAATTATGCTATATTTTAATAAGCAGCAGAGTACTTAAATGACAAGTTGATTTTGAAACAATTTTGTATTAAGTAACTTTGATGGTTACTCATTCCACTCTTGTGGGGTGACTCTTCCAACTGGAGATAGGTTCCACTCTATCCCAATCTGTGTGGCTGTATACACCCATGCAACAACACAGAAAGCGGTCCCACTGGCTAGTACAGTGTCACCGTATTTGTCATGGAAATCTGGTGAGTGTTTTTTGTGTTTCTGTCTTGACCTAATTGGTTGAATACTTCGAATCTTGAACCTTTTTAGTGCATTTCTGGCCAAGGGAAACATCACGAAAGTATGACAGGACTGCAGTCAACTGCAGCTGTTGGTCTATTTCCTTGCAGGGATACCTGGAAAAACAAAAGATGAGCAATAACATCTGATCTGCATTCAGTTCCTCCCTCAGAATGTTTCATTCACACCACTCCTCAGAGTGACCAGTCATGTTAGCTTCGATGCCATGATGTCTGGATTTGAGTCTCAGCTCTATTACTGACTAGCTATACGAACTCGGGCAGTTATTTAACCTCTCCTTGCCTTAGTCTCTTCAATGGCAAACTGAGACAGTAATGCCCAGCAACAAAGGGTGCTCTGTGTGTATAACACCACTCTGGTTAGTCTTAAGGGACCTGCTTCAAGTTAGCTTCAAGTTAGCACACTCCTCACTTGCTGACCTAAGGTCTGTGATCTATAACAGAACTAATTTATGTTCGTTGAGATGTGCAGACCATTGGCCTTGAGGAATGAAAGACTAGAACTTTTCCAGGCCATAGATTCCCAACAAGTCTGTCTGAAGCCACCTTGGCTTTCTGATTATTAGCCCAGTAGTTCTTTACCAAAATGTTTTTCTTTTTTAGGTTACACAGATGACTCTACTGACGTCCCTTTGTGCATCTGTAGACCTTGCCTTCTTTTGCAAAGAGAACAGGATACTCCAGCACATCATGAAACAAGAAAGAGAGCCGCTTGCACAACACCCTCTCACTGAGAGAACTTTTATAGCTGGCATCACTGAGTCTGCATGAATCAAGAAAATGTTGAAGGCCGCTGCATTCCCTTGACTAATTAACTACACTAAAACTTTAAAAATCCTTGGACCAGGCAGAAACCTCAGAGTTGGCTTCTGTACAAGAATCCACATTCTCCTCAGGTTGCCAGCTTCCAGAATAAAGTTCAAATTTCTTTCCAATCAAAACTTGTTTCTTGAGTCATGATCTTTCAGTTGATGGGCAGCCAAATTTGGTTTAGGTAACATGAGAATTACATGCGATAATCCCTAACAACAAAAGCAAGCACCTAGTAAGTATTAATCTGTTCTATTTTTCACAAATAGCCAATGGCTTGTTCCCTAGACTTCAAACTCATCAGTATGACCGACAAAATGACAATTCACAACATGTCCCACAAGTCCAATGACCTAGGACTACTGTAAACTCAGGTTTCAGTCAGAATTATAAGGCATTCAGAGTACATCCTACCTCCTCCTCCTGCTCCTCCCCCCTCCCTTTTGTTTAAGCTCTTCCTCAAATCCTCCTTCTCCTCCTTTACCTGTAATTCCTGCCTTGCACCTTTCTACAGGTAAAATTCTATTTGCCTTTTAAAACCTAATCTAAATATCACTACCTCTGTGAAATCCTTCCAAATCTCCCTAGGTTGAATAAACCTCCTCTTCTCTGGGCTCCTACACTTCTTACAACCCTGTTTCATAGCATTTAACATGATAATGGCTTTATCATTTTTTAAAATAGACATTTTTTAAGAACAGTTTTAGATTAACTGCTTAAGTGAGTGGAAAATACAGACTTCCCATATACATGCTGACTCCACACATGTATAGCTTCCTCCTCCTGTAACAGGCAATTAAATGTTACGTTTCTTACAATCAATGAACCTACGTAACAGTCCTTTTTCATGTATGTCTTTTGCAAATATTTTCTCCCAGCCTGTGGCTTGTCTTGTCATTTTCTTGAGAGATTATATTCTCTTCCAATAGACTGCAAGGTCTTCAAGAGCAAGGGATATTACCCTGCATGCAGAGTAGCTGACACAAAAGCACAGAAAGAAGTTGTTTTTTAAACCAACCTAAAATATAAATGATATTGGTAACCTTAAAGCAGTCAAAATGAACACAGAGGACAAGTAAAAAACAAAAAACAAGAAAACAAAAAAAAAACATGAAATCAAATGTACAGGTTGTAACAGCCCTAATAATTTTATTTTTTTAAACAGTTATATTGAACAAGAGATCTGGAAGCAGAAACACATGGAATTCTGTCCATTTCTCTTCTTTGTGCAAGCTGTCGAACATGCTCAGTCTCTAGCAACGACATATGTTAACTGTGGTCCAAATGCAAGCAACATGGATACAAAAACGCCTGACGTCAGTACTTGTAAACTTATAACTGATCAATGAGATTTGCCAACTCAAATGACTTTATTCCCAACTTAGAAAACAAGACCCTAAGGTTCTCTTTTATTTCCTACCAGATGGTAAAGTGGTAGTCTTCCTGATTGTGATGAAAGGGACAAAAACAGAACCAAATGCCTTTCTAGAAGAAAGGTTTCAAATATTCAAGGTTTTTTTTTCTTTCCTGTTAATCATGAATCTATCCAATAAAAGTCACTAAGATTTTAATTTGAATTGAATTCAGGAAGTAGGCTGAAGGTGAAAAGGGTCAGGCTATGACAGGTGCAGCTTAATTCAATAAAAAACCACTTGTGGCACACAGGATGGCAGAAAAAAAAACAGAATAATTGTGGTAAGAGGAATTTCTTGTGGGTCATCTATGCATGCCTGCTACTGTATGACAAAACATTTCATTACTCCTATCCTCAAAATGTGAAGTTGAAATTTACTTTGTCTCTAGTGACACTAATCACATCCCTTTGTAGCCTGATTCATCTTTTGGCTATTCCTTTATCTGTGAATTTTTTTTTTCTGTCTAGCCTAAAGTTTCTTGTACCAGTGAGTATCCATTATTAAGAATTTTCTTAGGGTTGCCCGGGTGGCTCAGCAGTTTAGCGCCACCTTCAGCACAGGGCCTGATCCTAGAGACCCGGGATCAAGTCCCACGTCGGACTCCCTGCATGGAGCCTGCTTCTCTCTCTGCCTGTGTCTCTGCCTCTCTCTCTCTCTCTCTCTCTCTCTCTCGTGTGTGTGTGTGTGTGTGTGTGTGTGTCTCATGGATAAATAAAATCTTTGAGGAAAAAAAAGAATTTTCTTTTAGGGAAAAAAAATAAGTTTCTTTTAGGAACTCCTATAGTTTGTAGTTAGCATTTCATCCTATAATAAACAAAATGCAGTCTCTTAGACACCTTTTTTTATTTTTCCTTGTCAGCATTAGCTACACCTGTCTCAGTTGCCTTTATATCTACATTATATCAATTTCTGCTTATAAAACACAAGAAGATCTAGGAATCCATGGATTAGAGAAATTTTCCATACTGTTCAATTCCACATAACTTACTTTTATGATAAATTTCACCTAAGCCTTTTTTATTACCCAAAGAATTGAAGAAGTAGGGTCTAATATCCATATGAAAGCATAAAAAAAGAAATTCAATGATATAATGCAGGTAAAGAAAATACTTCTCAAAAGTAGATGCTCTCTGATGAAAACAGACCACAAAGAGATGGAACAAGACAGGTTTCTCTAAGGAATAAAGAACACAGTAGAGGTTCTCTCACGCCTGTGGCAATAAAAGAAAAGAAATATGTTCTGAATAAATATAAATAGTTAAAGAGAGTGAAGTATCCCATGAGGATGAAAAGAAAAAATTGATTGTGTCATCTATTTTATACACCAATGCTGAAACTCAGTTTAGGAAAATAATGAATACTAGACTTCAGTCTAAGTGCAATAAGGAAGTATACATATTTGAAGCTCCACTGATAACAAAAATAATTTCAAATCACTAAAGTCTATAAAAATAAGTAAAGCGTAATATATTACTATAGTAGGGAAACTAATATTTAATGAATATATGCCTGTTTGCCAGGTATTGTCCCAGAATTTTGCACATCTGCAAAACCGGTGTGCAATGCTGATTATTTATCTCCATTTTGTACCTACGAACAAATGCCAGGTCAAGATGTGAATCCAAGTTCCCAGATTTTAAATCTAGTACATTTTTCAACTATCATTTTTCTTAAAGTATACTCAATTCTGAGTATTGGAAACAAACAAAAGCACAATGCGGTTACCAGAGGTTACTCTTTAACTGAAACCGGTTCACCCTAGTGACTACTAGTATGTCAGGGTCTGAGCTGGGTGCCAGTGGTACCATGCCCACTCTCGAGAGAGGGAATGAACAGAGCCGCTATTACAAGGGAAGAGACAGGCTAGAGATGAACACAGGGTGTCCTTCGTCTACAGGAGGAGTTATATTTCTACCTCAAGTTCTAGAAATGGTTTCAGAGGAAACGACACGCAGGCTAGATCTTGAAGGATGGTTAAGATATAAAAAACAAACCTGGGAGTGTAGGGTGTAGATGAAGTAGCAGAAGTGAAAGCACAGAGGGCTCAAATAGCATGCGGGCAGGACAATCTGGTGAGAGCTCAATAACACTGGGTAATAAGTGAATGCCCACTGATGAGCCTGGAGGGATGAGGAAAGAACAGCAGCACAGTGACGACTTTACATGCCTGGCTTTGGAACTTAAACTCAATTCAGTAGATCCGTGTTCCTCACTGATGAGAAAAGAGCACTCAAACTCACAGCCTTTATCTGTGAGTTACCAATGGGAATTCTTAGATCTGTGTTTTTACTCACACAATATAAAGAAATACAAGACAACAATATTGAGACCTGGATGATGTAGCTTTTCAATTACTGGTGCCTGGGTTTATCTTTGTTCTGCATTTTTTGCTTTCCTAGTGCACAACATTTATTTATCCTGGGCTAATGTGAAAAGAACGGAGTCAGCTTTTATATTTAAGTAATGTGTTCATGCCAGCAACAAAACAAAGAATTAGACAAATTGAGTCATGCCACAGCTCACTATATGGTACAGACATCTGAAAATAAAAGAACTATGGCCATGGCAAGCACTGTTGCAGATTCTGGACATTATTAATGGGTACATATTGAATTAATATTATAATTTTGAATTTTCTTTGTTGTATAGTTTGGTTCATTTTTAATTTGAAAATGTTTTGGATTCATAGTCGTATTAAAGAGGATAAATTTGGTTTTATGTTTACACATGTATAAGTTATTTTAAAATAATTCAAGACTGTACAAATGATATGAAGGAATTTGTTTTCCCTTTAAAAAGATTCCATATT